AGGGTGATTTTTTTGACTTCACATTCACAAACAAATATGCAAAGCTAAATTGCGTCTTATCTATATATACAGATTAGATAATTCACACACGACATCTTTCTATAGATAGTGATGGTACCAACTATGTTTTATTCGGTGAAATAAAAATAAAATAAAAATTATCTTTAGTAGAGATGGCTGAGGGGTTGATAGCTCTGGTCTTGAAAACCGGCTTAGTTCGAAAAAAAGAACTATCGTCGTTTTGCTGGATGAAGAGTTGTTTATTGGTTTTTGCTTTTCTCGACTTCTTAAGTTAAGAAGACTCTTAATATGAATAAGAAGAAAAAGGCTCCACATCAAGAAATAGAAAAAAAAAAAGGCTCGGCTTGGTGTTAAAAAATTTAAAAACTTCTATTTTTCAATATATATTTAATAATTATTTTTTAAAATTAATAAACTATTTAAATATATTTAATTAATTTAAAATTCTAATACATTAGTTATATATATAAAAATTAAATATTAAAGATAGTTAATATTTTAAAATATTTTTTCAGTCCTTTTTGCGGAAATTTTACAGTGCCTTCTTACATCAGAGTAAAAAGGGCAGTGGAAAGGTGGAGGCGGCGGGCCGAATGCAGCCACTACGTATATAAAAGAGGAAGTGGAAAATTCTGGAGAAGATTGTTCCTTTGCATTCGTCGTGGCTTACGTTGTTACTAGTGTTTTTATTGATTGAAAGGGCCCCGCTCAATTGCCGTACTCTTCGAGAAATCCCTTTCTCGGTTCCTGATAAAACCCAGGATCAAAAGGAGAATTTGAATTTGATCATAGCTTTCAGTAGGCTATATATACACTTTCTCTGTAACGGGACAAGCTCAATCATCAGACTGTAGACATGGGTTGGGGAGGAATTCTGGGTTTTGAGCATGGGATAGTTCTGGCACCACTGGGTCCGGATATTTCAGGGCCGGAGCTCGTGGCTGCGGTTGCTAACGCCGGAGGACTTGGGTTGCTTAGAGCTCCTGACTGGGTATTTCCCTCATATCTTTATATATTCAGTTTTCTGTCATACTTTGCTGCAACCATCTCACTGTCACCATGTCGAATGAAATTTCTAGTGTCCATTCCTTTTTTTTTTTTTCTGTTTCTGTGTTTTAGCTTTCTGAGGGCAGGGATGTTTGCCATTGATAATTTCATTTCATTGGTTCTTTCCAGTTTCACATCTTGAGAAGCGTTCATCAATGAGTGGAAGTATGTGGGGTATTAAGAATATTTTTTTAATGTGTATGGCATAAACTTGGAAGTTATCTGACTTTTGAGGCAGCTAGTGAATCAACTAGTGAAGTTATTTGATTATGTCTGTCTATTGTTTTTGCTTCTTGCTTTTAAGATGATAAGTTTAGACCTTTTTTTATGGTTTACAATAGAATGACTGAAATTGGAGAGTTATGTGAATAAATATGCTCCACAGATAATTTGCATAAACCCTCTTTATACATGACTACCTAAATTGTATGCAAGACTGATGTGCTGATTTGTTGTTGGATTAGTTTCTACATTAGGACTTTTCCTTGTTTCTGTTATGGAGATCCAATTTAAACAGTAAATCATTTGCAAATCATATGTCACATTTTGTATGAATTATGCTATGCTTACCGTGTCACAACCATTTGGCAAATGAATTATCCTATAATACATGTAAGTAACCTTTGTAATTTTGTTTTTTATCTAGACACTACTGATTTTCTCAGGCTGTGTATGCAGGAATCACCAGATTACTTAAGGGAGCTGATACGGAAGACCAGAAGCTTAACTGACAAACCATTTGGGATTGGTGTTGTTCTGGCATTTCCTCATGAGGAAAATATAAAGGCTATATTAGAGGAAAAGGTTGCAGTGTTGCAGCTATATTGGGGTGAATGCTCAAAGGAGCTTGTAATGGAAGCTCATAATGCTGGCGTCAAGGTTATTCCCCAAGTTAGTATTTTGTGTCCCCTTTCTGGTACTTTGTTGAATATGCTTTATATTTCACAAGTGAAATGCCTATTTTTAACTATGCAAATGCTTTGAAACAGCTATAGCCATATTGTGGATTCTAATATAATAAGACCATTATGCTTGACACACTATGATATTGTCCTTGGTGGATAGGTAAATATGATGAAAAGATAGTTCATTTTTCCCTGTAAAAATAAAAATGTTTATATTGAGGATAATGCCTTTGATTTTGAGAAGAGACATGAATGCAACGCAGAAGGATCATTTTGGGCTTTTGGCCATCATTTGCTCCACTCTTTGCGTTGTCAGTATTTGGATTGCAAAAAACATATTGCTTTTATCTTTACCTGTTGGATTATCTCATGAGCTTATATTGAAGGTTGGGAGCATTGAGGATGCAAGAAAGGCCATTAATGCAGGTGTAGATGCTATCATTGTCCAAGGACGTGAAGCAGGAGGTCATGTAATTGGACAGGTACAAATAGGATTTTTTTGTTCCTTCAAATGGTAATAATATTGTTATTTGCCAAAGTTTAATGTGGCTTCCTCTTGTTCACAATTCTGATAGTTAATCTCATATCCACTAAGTGTTTTTCTTTTTCTGTGATTAGAACAATTAGGTTGTGGTCCCCTATTTTATTGTGTTTTTATCATTTTCAGGATGGCTTGATTTCGTTGGTGCCAAGAGCTGTTGATCTTGTTGGGAATCGAGATATTCCTATAATTGCTGCTGGGGGTATCGTAGATGCACGTGGTTATGTAGCTGCCTTGGCTCTCGGAGCGAAAGGCGTGTGCCTTGGCACTAGGTTTGAACCAACCTCAATTTAAATTAAGCATACAATCTTTAAATTTTATCTTGGTATTTCCTTTTCTGATATTGTGCATGTCATTTGCAGTTTTCATGAAGCTCAACTAAGCCTTTTCTTTTCTTTTTGAAATTAACTAGTTCTATGTCCATGCTAATAATAAATCTCCAATAATTTTTATTGTTGCATCATTTAAAAGTAATGTTTGCAATGATACTAATTTTCTTAGTTATTGTACATGATAGGAAGACTGAAATCATTTCTAAGTTTTAGCAAATAGTACTTTGGTATATGCTATAGGTTTCTTGTAGAATCATAATTTCCACTGGTTTTCTGAACTTGTTTAAGAACCAAACCTGGAAATCTATTGTCAGGTTTCTTGCAACTCAGGAAAGCTATGCTCACCCCATTTACAAGAGGAAGCTGGTTGAACTTGATAAAACAGAGTACACTGATGTATTTGGGAGAGCAAGGTGGCCTGGTGCTCCACAGCGTGCCCTCCAGACACCTTTCCTCTGTGATTGGAAATCCCTTCCTGCTCATGAGAATGAAGTGAATCAGCCTATCATTGGTCGATCAACAATACATGGTGTGGTGAGGATCACTTGCTGTCATACTAGAGAATTATAAAATTCTTAATCATCCTCCTGCACTTCCAGAACTACCTGGAGACAATTCTTCTGCGAATAAATCATATTTTGTGGCTTACTCTTAATCATGTGTTTCTGCTTTCAACTGGCATGAAAGTTAATTGGAGAAATCTATGCTGGATGAAGAAGCATGAGTTGACTTTTACCTATGCTTGATATTCTCATGTTCATTTTGCAGGAAAAGGAAATCCGCCGTTTTGCAGGTACAGTTCCTAATGTGACAACAACAGGTGACATCGAAAGCATGGCAATGTATGCTGGCCAGGGTGTTGGCCTCATCAAGGAAATTCTACCCGCAGGGGAAGTGGTGAGGAGGTTGGTTGAAGATTCTCAAATTCTGATCAAGCAAAAGTTCAGTGCGGAGCCACTCTAAGTTGATGAATGATCTTGATTTCTCATGTCTGTGTGGATCAGAATTCCTACCCTGGTTGATGAAGTCCATTAGGCATCAAACCAGTGACATGCTGATAGATTTTACAAGAATAAACATGTTAGATTTGTTGCTGTTAAAGAAAAAAATGTTAGATTAGTTCGGAGTTTTATCTCATGGTACACCTCTTTCCTAGCCTTTTGTTTATCTGCTGCTTCTTTAGGCCCTTTAAAACACTGGAAATTGTACAATATGTGTGCAAATAAAGAAAATCTTTGCATTGTTAAGCACGTTCCATCCACTTGTCGAATTCTTGATTTTGCTGCGTTGTATCAAATCTCTTTGGAACCGGTTTCTCGTCTTCCTAACTATCTCAAATAATTATAAGTCTTGCTTTGATCATGGATTACCTGGTTAAGCATGCCGGCCTTTTTCGCTATGCTACGCCATTCATATTATATATATTATCTTCGTGTCGATTTTTCTATGAGGAAGATTGACTTCCTTCAGTTGTGTGCGCCTATGCTCGCGTGTGTTTATGTCGACTTTAATGAATATCATTAGATTTGATGTTCAGCAGATTTTGTTTTCCCTTTTTACTGTAAAAGAAACAAAGTTGGGACTTCAATTATTTTTTGAAAGTTATGATTGATATATGCACCATTTTCATAGGACATGCATTAAATTAGACGATAATTTGGGACAACACAACACAAATACAAGAGATCAAGCCATATGCTGATTAAAGTTCGGAAGGCAGCGTTTCTGGAGAATGCATGATGCATCATTCATTGCCCATTTTTATTCATGAAATTAAGCCCAATAATTATAGAAACCATGATACATTTTCTATGAAGAATTAGTTTCCTTTTTCTTGAGCAAGACCTCATTGATCATCTTGTCCAAATTCAAGAACGAGGAGCCATCTGGACATGCGGCTTCTTCCGCCTTCCTCTTCCACTCTGCGGCTTTCTTCCTCATCTCTCCCCCCTTTATGCCTTCCATCAACTCTCTAACGAGCTTCTCCACTTCATCTCTCTTAACATTACTATCAATCTCCATGCCATTTCCCCATTCAATGCAAGCATACCTACAATTCGTTGGCTGCTCCGCGAAGAACGACCAACATATCATCGGCACACTGAAACTTATGCTTTCTATGGTTGAGTTCCAGCCACTATGCATTAAGAACCCTCCAACGGCAGGGTGTTTCAGCACTTGCTCTTGTGGGCACCAGCTCACCATCATGCTTCTGTCTTTAGTTTCCTCAAGGAACTCAGGCGGTAACACGGCTGAATCACCTCTCACCAAGTCAGGCCTAATTATCCACAGGAAACTCTGCTTGCTGTTAGCCAATCCCCAAGCAAACTCCACTAGTTGTTGCGCGGTCACAACCGTGATGCTGCCGAAATTAACATAAACCACAGATTTAGGATCCTTCGAGTTGAGCCAGTGGAGGCACTCGGGTTCATCTTTCCATAGATTTGTTCCTATGGAACTTAAAGGCGACTGTGGTATCTGATTAACGAGCAAATGAAGGGGGCCAATGGTGTAAACGGGGGGAAGTGAGGATGCAAGATCAACGAGAACATCATGCTCCAACTGATCGAAGGTATTTAAGACAATGGCGGAAGCTCTCCGTGCTCTTTCGCTCTCTCTTTTCAAGAAATATACCATAAAATCGTCTCTATCTGTCGTTCGGATAAAAGTAGGGAGGTCTCTTAACCGGATCATGTTCTTCATTCCGGGAATCCAATCAGCAACCATGTCCAGATAGCCATTAGTTAAATCGCTCTCGTCTGCATTAAGTACCTCGCGTTCAATATGTAATATACAGAATTGGAGGTCTTGAGTTTGAATTGCAGCTAGCATAGAACTACAAAAGAACATAAAGCATTTACCTTTTAATGGGAAAAGACCTCTATCAATAAGAGATGCATAGTGAACATAGCCCAAGAAGCCACAAGCACTGGTTGTCCAGAGCAACACACCAGGGATCCCAAGTTCCTCTGCAGCGTCTAGAGTGAAGGACATGACCCCATCCGAGATTATGCATGTCACCGACGGACATCCTTCGGAAGAGTTGAGTCTGGCAAGAAGCTCCCTAAACGGGGCTAAGCAGTTCTTGCTTGTGGAATCACAGAGGGCAGGTATGTCTTGTGTACCTTCGATTTCTGGTGGAGGAAGGCCGTCGGGAATGGTTTCATATCGGAAGTCCGGTAAGCCGTCAAGGGCGTTGGGACCTCTGGATTTGAGGAGGCGTTGGTGATTGAACTCTGTGTTGACGAAGGTTATGTGGAGTCCTTTGAAATGGAGGAGTTTGGCTAGTTTCATCATGGGGTTCACATGGCCTTGGGCGGGGAATGGTACGCAGACAGCATGGGGCTTGTGGGAATCTGTAACAGAACCCATGGCGTAATGACTCTGATAAAGCTGTTGTTGTGCACCAACTTTATAGGCAGTTTTTTTTTTGCCAGCATAGATAATTAACAGGGTAATAAATACGTATATATTTTTTATAAATTTGTGTTAGAAGAGAAGAGTTAATTTTTAATTTGTTAAATGTTCAATTAAAATTTTTAATTAGTAATGATATTAAAATTAATGTTAAATTTTACATATTTAGTTATATATTTATGATAAAAAAATGATAAAAGAATGATAAATTTTTTAATTTAATAAATGAGTTTTTCTAACCCGTATATTTAAAAATATATTTATTATACTTTTCAATTTTTATCATTAATTTAAATGAAAAATTATGAAATTAAAATTTATTTTTAACATTAATATTATGTTAAATATTTTAATTAAATAATTAATAAAGCTAAAATAAATTTTTAGTTTTTTTATATAAATTAATAATAAAAAATATAATAAATACACTATCATTTTAATTGAAAATTTAATAAATGCACTTTTCACCCCCTAATAAATGCACCATTTTTGGTGCAATTCTTAGAAAATTCATTTTGAAAGGGTTAAAGCCAACTATCATCCCTATACTATTGAAAAAAGTTCAATTTAAACCTTTTATTATGGATTTACCTCATATCCTCCCTCTACTTTAATTTAGATTTTCATGTCCTCCCTCTACCATTCAAAAAGAGCTCAATTTCGTCCCTCCATCCATTTTAAAGGGAATGACATCTTTTTCACTGTTAAAATGCAAACGGTTAGTTGTTTGCCACTGTTTTTAATTATTATTTTTGTCCATCCTTGCATTGTATTGGATGGTTCAAGCACCACTAGAGGACCAAGCTCGTGGCTATGGTTGCTAACGTTGGTGGATTTGGGTTGTTTAGAGCTCCTGACTAGGTATTTTCCTTATATCTTTATATATTTAGTTTTCTGTCTTATTTTGTTGTAATCATCTCATTGTTACTATGCCAAATGAAAATTCTAGTGTTCATTCTATTTTTGTCTTTTTCTATTTTTTAGCCTTTTGAGTGCAAGGATGTTTGCCATTGATAATTTTGTTTCATGGGTTCTTTCTATTTTCACATTTTGAGAAGCCTTTATCAATGAGAGGAAGTATGTGCGGTATTAAGAATATTTTCGTAATTTGTATTGTATAAACATGAAAGTTATCTAACTTTTAGGGTAGCTAGTGAATCAACTAGTAAAGTTATCTGATTATGTCTATCTACTATCTCTGTTTCTTGCTTTAAATTGAGATCTTTTTTATGGTTTATAATAGAATGACTGAAATTGGCCATTCAAAATTTGATTTTTACTTTTACATACAAGAAGTGGCCGAAACTTAAGCAATTATGTTCTCATTCAATTAGAGTTATGTGAACAAATATGCTCCACAGATAATTTGCATTAACCCTCTTTATATATGACTACCTAAATTGTATGCAAGATAGATGTGCTGATTTGTTGTTGGAGTAGTTTCTATATTAGGACTTTCCCTTGTTTCTATTATGGAGTTCCAATTTAAATAGTAATTCATTTGCAAATCCTAGGTCATGTTTTGTATGAATTATGCTATACTCATTATGTCACAATCATTTGGCAAACGAATCATCCTTTTATACATGTAAGTAACCTTTCTAATGTTGTTTTATCTAAACACTATTGATTTTCTATTGAATGCAAGAATCACCAGATTACTTAAGGAAGCTAATATGGAAGACTAGAAGCTTAATTGACAAACCATTTGGGGTTGGTGTTGTTCTTGCATTTCCTCATCAGGAAAATCTAAAGATTATACTAGACAAAAAGGTTGCAATTTTGCAGCTGTATTGGGGTGAATGCTCAAAGGAGCTTGTAATGGAAGCTCATAATGTTGGGGTCAAGGTTATTTTCCAACTAATTTGTATTCCCTTTCTAGTACTTGGTTGAATATGCTTTATGTTTTACAAGGAAAATGCCTTTTTTTAACCATGCAAATGCTTTGAGAAAGCTATAGCCATATTATGGTTTCTACTATAATAAGATCATTTTGCTTGACACACTATGATATTCTCTTTCATGGATGGGTAAATATGATGAAAAAATAATTTTTTTTTCCAAGTAAAAATAAAAATTTTTACCATTGAGGGATTAGTGTTGTTCTCAGCCCATTTTCTATTGATGGGATCTCTACAAATAACAATTGGGTGGCAAGTGGAAAAGGTTGCGTTGAGGGTAATACCTTTGATTTTCAGAAGAGGCATGAATGCAATCATTTTGGGCTTTTGGCCATCATTTGCTTCACTCCTTGCATAGTCAGTATCTGGATTGCAAAAAACATATTTCTTTATCTTTTCTTGTTGAATTATCTCTTAAGCTTATATTGAAGGTTGGGAGTGTTGAGGATGCAAGAAAAGCCATTGATGCAGGTGTAGAGGCAATCATTATCCAAGGATGTGAAGTAGGAGGACATATAATTGGAAACAATTAGGATTTGTTGGTTCATTCAAATAGTAATGATACTGTTAGTTTCCAAAATTTACAATAGCTTCCTCCTGTTTTGCAATTCTGATAATTAATTTTATATCCATTAAGTGTTCTTCATTTTTGTGATTAAAGCAGTTAGATTATGGTTCGCTGTCCCTTATCTTATTGTATTTTTATCATTTTTAGGATGGCTTTATTTCATTGATGCGAAGAGTTGTTGATCCCGTTGTGAATTGAGATATTCCTAAAATTGCTATTAGGGGTATTGTAGATGCGCGTGATTATGTAGTTGCCTTAGTTCTTGGAGCTAGGCATGTGCCTTGGCACTAGAAACAATCTCAATTTAAATTAAGCAAACAATCTTTAAATTTTATATTGGTATTTCCTTTTTTTATGTT